ACAAAATTATGAACTTGTGCTGCTCTGTTATTTAGAGTTTATTACTTCTTAATTAGTAATTTATTGTATTAATTCAATTAAAAATAATAATAATTATGATTTGCTATAAATAATTTAAAGATACTTTGACGAGTAATATAGCCTACTTTTGTGAGTAAGTTGGGATAAACAAGGAAACAGCATTGGGCATATTAAAAAATGTTTAAATTATAGTTAATTAATTAAATAAATAAATATTTAAACATATTAAAATATTTTTAAATTAAAAGGTAAAGTTTAATCTTCGTATCTCATCGCTGTATTTACATGTGAAAAAGATATCCACGTCAAATCAGACATGCCTCGAAACCATTTAACATTTATCTGAAACATTTCCCACTGAAATTATTATTTAAGCAATCGTCGAAGTGGCTCTAGATACAAGCTCTATCTTATGAGTATATATATGCAAAAAACGACACATAATATATAAGTATATAGGATAAACCGTTCGTTTATAAATAATCTTCGTTTTATATGTGCCTGGTAAAAATCTTCAATGAAACGCAGGAGTTAATGAACCTCTGCTATCAATTAAATAAATCATTAAAAATTGACTAACGAAGAATCTTGATCAAATAAATAAATATTAACTGAAATTAATTCATCCGTAAACATTGAAACTATTTATTTCATCTGTAAACATTTGTAAACTATTTCTAGTTATATAAATAGTAATCGTAAGAATAAATGATTGACATAAATAGGGTACATTTTATAATTTGTATATAATTGACTTGTAATTCGTCAAATTATTTGATCTGTAAAAATCTCTCGAGTAGTTTTTCTAGAGCATAAGTAAAATTCTCTAAAGTGTAGAAATATTGTTTAATTTTTTTTACCGAAGAATTAGTGAATTCTGAAGAAACAGTAATGTTCTAAATTTGTTTACTTGGAGACAAATAAATTAGCCGCACAGAATCAGAAAGTTGGAAATGTGATTTCGAAATGGTAGGCGTCGAAGTACGTGCAAGTATAAAATGCACGTTTAAAATAAAAATTTTAAGAAAAACAGAGAAGTGGGGATGACATTGCGAATCAAAAAAATTGAGGATTAAAACTGTGTGAGAATTCAAAGTGAGGATTAAAACTTTCAATTAAATATACATTACAAGGAAGTGAAGAATACGAAATAGATGAACTTTTACGAAGTAAAAGTTTGCAGCATTTGGTGAATATTGACCCTTACTCGAGTGACGACTTTAAGGTGGCATTAAAAATTGTTATATCACGTTCCAAAATAATTTTAATAATATCAAATTTGATTATATTTAAAAAAAACTGTTGAAAACGTAACTGTTGCACGAGCCACAAAATTCAATTTTATATGTATAAAATACACTAAGTTACGATAGTGTGCATAATTATAGACTCAAAGTAACTTCTACGTTTTTACTGATATTTAAATAAAAACCAAAAGAAGCTGTATTTGTATATTTCAATTATCAATTAATTGTAATATAGAAATATACAAATATTGTGTTTCGTTAAATTTTTGCTTACATATCACAAAAAATGTAAAAGTTACTTTGAACCTATAATTATTCACATCACTGTACACAAGGTAACCCAT